ATATTTTAAAACTATTGATGTTAAGGAAACTGCGGATCTGTGGGGAATTTCCGTTAAAGTTATTGCGCCTCATTTAGCTATTATTTTTAATACTAGTATCGAATCTGGTGTGTTTCCTGATTTAATGAAGCATAGTAAAGTAGTACCTTTATTTAAATCTGGTAGTACATTAGACCCCGCCAATTTTAGACCTATTTCTGTACTACCAACACTTAGTAAGATTTTTGAAAAAATTGTTCTTGATCAAATGTTGAATTTTTTTAATGTAATTAATTTACTTCATAAAAATCAATTTGGTTTCACAAGGGGTCGCTCGACAACTGATGCCGGTGTTGAGCTGATTAAATATATCTTTAATGCATGGGAGAATTCACAGGATGCTTTGGGTATATTTTATGACCTATCCAAGGCCTTCGATTGTGTTCACCATGAAACATTAATCAGGAAACTTCAACACTACGGTGTAAGAAGTGATGCCCTTAAATTAATTATTTCATATTTAAGTAAGAGAACGCAAAAAGTTGTCATTAACAATATGAGCTCTTCCGGATCGATGGTACAAATGGGCATGCCTCAAGGCTCAATTCTCGGCCCCTTTCTGTTTCTTGTATACATTAATGACTTACCTTACATAGTAGGGGATAACCATGATATAGTATTATTTGCAGATGACACTTCTTTAATTTTCAAATTAAGTCGACAGTTACTAAAATATGACGAAGTAAATAATGCTATATCTAAATTGGTAAATTGGTTCGATGTTAATAATTTGCATTTAAATGGCACTAAAACAAAATGTATGAAATTCGTTACTCCAAATGTCAAACAATTAAATACCAATGTAATTTTAAATGGGGAGAAACTGAGTCTTGTAGATACCACCATTTTTCTTGGAATCACACTAGACGCGAAGCTACAATGGAGCCCCCATATAACAAAACTAGCAAGCAGACTTAGTTCTGCAGCATATGCTGTAAAAAAGATTAGAAGTCTAACCAGTGTTGAAACAGCTAGACTAGTTTACTTCAGCTACTTCCATAGCATAATGTCGTATGATATTTTGCTATGGGGACACGCAGCTGACACTGAAATTATATTTGTTTTACAGAAGAGGGCCATAAGAGCAATTTATGATTTAAAGCCTAAAGAGTCGCTGCGACAAAAATTTAAGGAAATTAATATATTAACTTTGGCCTCTCAATACATTTATGAAAATGTAATGTACGTACACAAAAATAATAGTAGTTTTATAAAAATAAGTGATATTCATTCTGTAAATACTAGGAACAGACACAAGCTAGTAGTACCAGTTACTCGACTCCATCGAGTCAGTAATTCATTCTTGGGGCGATGTATACGCTTTTACAACAAAATTCCAGAAAATATACAAAGTTTGGCCTGTTCAAAGTTCAAAAACTTTATTAAACAAGTTTGTATAAAAAGGGTTATTATAATATTAAGGAATTTATGGATGATAATAACCCCTGGAAATGAGGTGATCGCTACCATGCTATTTCTAATTTGTTGTGTTGTTAATTTGTGTAACATCATGATTGTAAGCTGTTATTTAAAAAAAAGTCCCGCTGGGTTTCTTGCTGGTTCTTCCCAGGACAGAGGTTTTTTCCGAACCAGTGGTAATCAAACAAAAGAGTGACTTTCAATAAGTATTATTTATAATCTATATTGAATAAAAAAGTTTCTGTTTCTATTTCTGTTTCTGTTATGAAAACTTGTTAACTTGTGATTTATACATAAATATGATTTTTACATATTTATGAATAAAAATATATAATATTGGGCTGTTTTATTTAATTTCGTCGCAGTAATTGTTGATTGATGATGTAATTTGCATAAAATACAAGGATCGCCTGGAAAGTTTCTGAGTTTTATTAAGATCTTAAATTAGACATTCGATTGTCATTCTAACAGACCACATTTTTCTTAAATAAAATTAAAGTGCCAAACGAACTTACTGTTCACCTGTTGGTACCTACAAACCTACAAACAACTTCAAGTAAAAAAGGCTGCAGGTGCATTGACACCTTTGAGGAATAAGGTGGTATGACTCACAGTCCCGTACATTGTATTTTATAATAATTATTATATATATGAATAGATTACATTTTTATTTATTTCACGTTTTCTTTTTTTTTCTCAATATAGACGTAAAGGCGCCATTACGAAATTTGTTATGTGTCATGGGTATCATTGCACGATCTTTCTCACTTATAATATACCTCATTTTTGTGAATACTCGTATATTCTAACAACTACACTGAGGATTATTGTAATTTTATAACATGTCCATCTTACTTGTTATACTTTTATTGGTTAGAATGAAGATAAATATTATATTTGTACACAACACCGTGGTAGAATATATGATACCTACTGTAAATTTTACTAAACCCTAACTCACTGTATTCATAAATAAATAAACTACTGGTAAATCTAACTGTGCATGCCTTAAGCGCATTAAAACAATTGCGTATAATATGATTATTGGCAAATTTTAAAAGTAGTTTAATTACACACAAGTTTTCACTAAAAACCTTATAATTATTACTATACTTCCAATTTTTCGATAATTTTATGTCAAATTTCAATTTAAAAAAAAAAACTTGGAATATCGAAAATTGCACGACTCATAAGATCGTGAAAAAAATAAAAAAATGTATATTGTATATTCGTTAAACGACAAAACTCGGCACACTTAGTACTACTCTTCGAGGAGTTCCAGTAGCATTCACCGACGTACGTCTTCAGGTCACTCTATCAAGTCCGGAGTTACGGCCTCATCATTGCTAACAAAACGAGACCAAACTCTGCACACCTAGTTCTACTATTCGAAGAATTCCAGTAGCATTCACTGAAGTACATCTGCAAGTCACTCTATCAAGTCCGGAGGTAAGGTCTCATGATAAATGACAAAACGAGGCCAAGCTCTGCACACCTAGTTCTACTCTTCGAAGAGTTCCAGTAGCATTCACCGAAGTGCACCCCTAGGCACGTGCCTAGTTTGCCTTAGGGATAATTCGCCACTGTCCGGAGGTGAGGTTTCATTATAACTAACATAAGGAGCATAATCTCGGCACCCCTAGTTCCACTCGTCGAGGAATTCCAGTAGCAGATACCGAAGTACACCGAAGTTACGCCTTCAGATCACTTCATAATGTCCAAGACGCTTTGCGCTTTGCGCTAAGGCGTGCAATAAATGAATTTTGAATTTGAGTCCTGTTTTGTTCTTGTTTGTTTTGTTGTTGTTTTAAGTTAAAAGGTGCGAAAGTCTTTCTTTTTCTTACATAGATTTCATAAGGACAAACATCCAGACCTATTAAAATTATTTGTAGGCCATACAATAACTTGTCCCGTGCAGGATTCGAAGCCGCGGCCCTCAGCGCCACAACTCGTTGCTAAGCCACTGCGCTACGGAGCCATCAGTAATTATATGCAGTCTGTAATTACACTACTCTCTGCACCCATCACACCTGAACACGCAAGGAAGTGGGTGGCATCTACCCAGATGGACTCCTCCATAGAAAATAAGTCCTACCAAGTAAGTGGCTAAGGTGGCTGATATAGCTATCCGTCTATCTATTATAGCCCATAAAATTCACTGCTCAACATATGCCTCCCCCATAAACTCCGTCATCGGGGGGATTTCGCCATAGTGGCACGCTTGGCAGGCGGGTGGGTAACAGCAGATTTTATAATTTTAAGTTGTTATCAAGAAGATGCTGCAGGAGATGGGCTCCTGTTTCAATTCCCCACTGTCGCCTCTTACGACAACCACGAGACGATATGGTGTAGTGGATTGTAGTATTCATTTATTTCTTACACTGCCACTATATGTTATAACTTTATATATTATCAATTATACACATCAGTGAAACATATAACGGCTTATGAAGATATTAAGAATTACATTACATATTGCCAATAATATCAATGCAAATTCTAAACTAAACTATTAGTGTTAAAACCAGATTTTTAACAGTGGTAGAGCCACGCGGCAGCTTTTGCTGTCGCACGGATGGGCCGGCTCGAACCGGGGTAGTACCACAACCTCACAGAAAACCAGCGTGAAGTAGAGGTTTACCTCTGCGTTTCGCTTGGTGAGTGCAGGTGGCCGGAGGCCCTTTTTACTGGAAATGAGGCATTCCATCTTAGTCCTCACGGGTGACAACGCATCTACATTTTGATTTGTAACAGAGGATAAATGTAGATGTCTATGGGCCGCAGCAACCACTTACCATCAGGTAGACTGTGTGCTCGTTTGTCACCCTTATCCTATAAAAAAAAAACATGTAATTTTGTATACAACGGACACATGAAATTATACATACGGGTTTTTTTCTTCTAGTTAATAAGAATCTTGTACCGTTTACTATAACACAAAATTTATACAAATTAATTAATTGTAATAAACTTCAGAAAATAGAAAGGTAAAAATTAAATTTTTTTTTTGAATATTATTTTTCTTTTTCTTTTCAGCCCGTAGTCTATCGTTGGACACGGGCTTCTCCTATTCCCATTGCAAGTGAATTAGCGCTCACAGTACCAGAGGCATCGTGCCCGGACTTAAGGCTTCTTCTCAAATCCTTGGTTAAAAATAACGTAGAGACCTTATTTTGGGACTTGTATATTATTATATTATAATCGTATCTGATATATACGAGACGGTACAAGGCCTTATGCCTTTATTTTTTTATATATTTACCATAATCGCTTCTTACAGCTTCTACACGACAAGATGCGGTGGTAGATACTCAATTGAACTCTAATAATATACTTCTAAAAAAGGCAAAATAAAACAAATGTATTATTTTTTTTACAGTGTCTATTACACTGTACTTTAAATTAATTTTCTTTCCCACGATTAATGTATCTTATTACATATGAAATGCTTAGTATTACTTAGTTTCATTTCAAACACTGCTACACTGTAGTAAAATTTCTTCGATTTTGATAATTTTATTTAGTTGGACATAACATTGAAATTACTTTGTCTGCCGCAGTACAGCGTAGAAAGTGTACGAAGACTTTAAGATCTGAAACAATTTAGAAATATTACAGAACAAGAAAATATCATTCTGAACGATTTTATCAATAAGAGGTGCGAAATTTACTTCAGGCAATTTTCGCGACTGCTAGTACTAGCTGACATAGCAATTTATTCTTTTCCACAAATAAATAATTTTTCATTTATTTCGGACCGTAATGTAATGTGCTTAAAACTATGTTAATACACAATTTAAATATAAAGTCATTATAATAATACTTGAACATCAAAAATTAAAGTTTGGACCTTTTTAAAAGGAATATCATTTGAAAGGTTCTGTGCCTTGAATTTGCATGTCAATTTTGCTGTTAAGGCAGGTAAAATAAAGTGAACACAGACTTGATTTTTCCAAAAAAAACTTTTAATTTAATGAGAGGCTCGTATGTGTTGAGATCTCTTTGCTTTTTTTGCATGGAAAAATATGAAAAAAAACACGCGTGAGTGTCGTAGAAGTTGCTTTCCTAGTATATTATTATTGATAAACGTATTATATCATTTGATTAATCGCTCGTCATGGGCCGTCGTTATTTAACATAATACACTGTGTATAGATGAGGTTGGAGTTTGAACAAAAACTGCTGCCCTCTCTAATTTATATATCTTTTAATTAATATCTATCTATTAATTAAGTAAGCTAGATGAGCGATTGATATAACAAAACGCTTCGCAAATTTAATTGTTAAAATCTTGTTTAAAGTGACTGTTTCAAGTTAACTTTCTAAATATAGTGTCGATATACTTGTATTGCATTGTGTTAAACCAATTACAGTGAAGTCGTAACCGCTGCTCTCTGCACAGCGCTTACGACCTTTTTCTCGTCATCTCGAGCGTCACCTATCCCGCCACCGCTTCACCGCGCCTTTTTAATACGGTTTGTTTTGTTGTTAGTTTTAAATAAAAAATATCAAGTACCATTGAAATTTTACTTAAAACTAACAAAATGATGTCCTCTGAGAAAATTTCTCCAGTGTATGAATCATGTGACTAGCTTTCCATGCAATAATCAGACATTGACATTAGATGAGTGGTCTTACTGGATTTGCCCTGAATATCATTGTACTGCGAAAAGGGGTGGTAGTTACTCTGAGATTTCAGTCGGCTCACCTATTCCTGTACGCGAGTCCAATATTACCATTCGTAAAATATCATCTGTATCACATAAAGTAGACTCTGTTGGGAAAACATGTAAGTTATTCAATCTCACTGTTAAACTTATTAAAATCGGAAACAGAGGCACACAAAATCCAGTATGCACAACATTACACTTGCAATCTCAACAACCTAGTACTGCTTCAGGTTCTAAACCCAAAAATACATCGAAATTTCAAAAGTTTAAGAACCATAAAACAAACTCAGAATCCCACTAAGCAGAATCCGATCCGTCAGCCAACTACTACCAATACTTCAGCTATTCATACCTCACAAGCTAAGGAAAACAACACTAAAACTACTCAATCTTATACAGACAACAATATAATAAACAAATCAACTGAATCTCATATAGAACCTGCCCCTACCGAGTGTCCTATTAGCCTCTAGTCAACTAAAAGCGATGTGACTCTTTCTACCACCTGTAATATTACTAACATTGAGCCCTGGAAGATAGTGACTAGTAAGAACAAAAATAAAAGAAACACATCTATCTGATGCACAGGCGGTACTGGTATCACAACCTTAAAAGCTATTGAGGAAAGGAAATTTGTACATCTATGGAACATGGAATCAGGACCTGAGGAAATTTTGGCTTACCTGCAACAATTTTGTACTCATGGAAAATGTACTGTTAAGGAAATTAAAATGAAAGGAGAAACAGATCGTAAAAGTACCTATTGCTTTCTACGACACGATCCTATCTGTCGAAATTTGGCCGGATAGCGCCCGAATTAAACCTTGGATTTGCTTTCGTACAAAAAGTCATGGAAGGCAAAAACAATAATCATGCAACTATTTCTGCAAAATCTGGATCGAACTTACTGAGATCCTTTGACAGTAAAGCGGTACTAAATATCTTTTATCAAAAGGTCCGTGGTATTGCGAGTAAAATAAAACTTCATACATGGAAAACCAATCTACTAATCCTAGAGGATACCCTTGTCGCTGCGACGGAAATTTTCCTACATTTATCCGTGGAATACTCTGAAGTTATATGCGGTGGATGGAGTATCATACGGCGACAGAACTTATGGAGGAGGGGTATTGCTTGCCACTAAACCTGATATCACGCCTGTCAGACAACATAATTTAGAAATCCTTAATGGCGAAGACGTCTGGATTAAATTTAATTTTCGTGGCATTAGTATATACGTTTGCGTCGTATACATACCACCCAGCGCTATGGATGCAGTCTATTTTATTGGTTCTGCAAGGTTGAAAGCTTTATAAATGACCTTAATGGAACTATATTGATTCTCGGTGATCTTAACCTAAATAGTGCCAAAAAAATGTTTGTAGCTATTATTGTTATTTTTATCATTTTGCAGCATGTGTGATAGGATTTTTGTTTTTAATATATTTGGAGGAAAGTTCGATGTAGTAATTTTAAGGGCTGTTGATTGTGCGGTGCAAGTAAATGCCGCTGAGGCAGGTGCTATTTTTAATATTGACCCCTACATCCCCCGCTAGACGTAGAGATAAAACTAAATTCACCTAAAAGTAACAAATATATTGAATCCAGTAACTTTTATCCAAAAACTCACTGGAATTTTAATAAAGCTGATTTTCTTTCACTGTATGATCAGATGGTTACGGCAAATTTGTGTAACGTCATTCACGCAGATGATGTTTCGGTGACAGCTGAATTTTACTAAATACTTTACAATATCTTTGATGTTTATGTACCCAAAAATTGATATTTAAATTAAATTGCAAACGTTTCCCAGGCTAGTTTTTAGGTGATATCATATACGATATCAATCGTAAAATAAGACTTCATCGCCAGTGGAAATACATGGTGACGTATGTGTTTATAATGCTTTCTCTAGATTACTTTCGAATTTAAAGAACCACATTGAGTAAGCCTACAAATTATACATAATAACTATCAAAATGAGCATTAAGATTGACTCGAAAAGTTTTGGCAGCACATTGCTAACCTGCAATTGAAGAACGATTTTGAACGCGTAGTGACCTATAAAAATAAAAAAATTCTCATGTACTAAAGCAGCTGATGCATCTGCGCACTGTTTTCAAGTGTATTTCTGCCAAATAACCTTCTAGATAGGGATCTAATTCTAGATCCCTATCAAGTATGTACCGCTAACATTGCACCACATGGGGGACATGTAAACATACACAACTTTACATTATCAGAAGTCAAAACAGGTATCAACAAATTCCCCCCCGAACGGGTTCCCGCCTTGTCGTGGCGGGGGGGCTTAGTAGCCGTGGCTTGGTCAACCACGGTGAACGAAGAGGAACCCCTTGGCTGGCCCGAGGTGGCCACTCCGAGTGGGCTTGGGAAGCCCTCTTCGGATGTGTGTCGGGGGGCTGTGGTGAGAGGGGAGTCCGCAACCCTCTACCGCTGCAGCCGAGGTGGAGTCGCGGAGGAAGAGGAGTGTTGGTATGGCGATGCGCCACTCGCCCTATCCTCCGCGACTCAGACGGGGCCGCACCGTTGAATGATGCGGTGGTGGTGGGGCTGCGGGGGGAGAGGAGTGTCGGTATTGCGAGGAGCCGCTCTCCCTACCCTCCGCAGCCGAATCTTGGTTGGCGGCGGAGCCATAGACCAGATCCGCCGCTGGATCGGGAAGGCTGGTGCTTCTTCTTAGTGCTAGTTTTTCCTGGCCCCATGGCCTTCGCGCATCGGACACGGGGGCGTCTGTTGCGCATATGAAATTGGAGGCCGAGGAGGAGGGCGCGCCATGTGTTCTGGTGCGCCTTACCGGAGAAGGAGATGGGGGAGGAGTGGTCCTCTCCCGAGGAGGGGCCGCCATGGGGTGGCCGGCGCAGGTGGGGCCGCGGAAGTGTGCGAAAGCGTTCCCGTGGCCCTGCCAATATGCGACGAGGGTGGAACACCATGGGGTTTTAGTCGGTGCGAGTCCGACATAACCCGTCCTTGCCCCCGCGAGGCGGGTATGCGTAGGCATTTCCCCATGTAAAAAAAAAAAAAAGGTATCAACAAATTAAAGCCCGGTAGTTCTGTTGGTTCCGATAAGGTTCCTACTTATATATTAAAAGGATGTAAGGAACATATCGCAACCTCCCTTTGTCTTATATTTAATCTGGTTATGCATAGTGGCACTTATCCCGAACAGTGGAAGCTATCTCGTATCACCCCCACTCCAAAAACTTGTAACAGGTCCTCTGTTAAGAATTATCGGCCCATTGCGATTCTCTCATTCCCTGCCAAGGTCTTTAAACATGTACATAAGGTCATTTACGAACAGGTAAAATCCTATTATGCGACAAACAACATGGTTTTCGACCTGGTTACTCAGTAGAGACTAATCATATTTCGCTTGTGGATTACATTTCGCACAGTCTAGATAAAGGTAGGCAGATAGATGTGCTATATCTCGATTTTAAAAAGGCGTTTGATAAAGTGGACAATGATATAATGTTATTAAAGTTATGCGCTATAGGATTTACGCCGAAACTAAGAGAATTTAATAACAAACAATTGTTACAATCCTTATTTTTAAATATAATTTTAGTGTAATAAATCAAAAGAATATTTTTTTCGAGTAAAATTGCTTTGTAATAACACTATCTACTTCATTTATAGGTAAAGTCATTTTATCGAACAAAAATAAATAGAAAAAAATAATATAGAAGGTGGTACGTAAAGTAAACGCTAGATGGCCTGAAGTAATGAAATCGTGGATTGATGTAAATGGATTGGTATATTAAGATAATTTTATTGAATATGGTGAATTTTATTTATTTATGAAATTTATTCTTTAATTCAATAATTTGTTAAATAAAATAAAATAAAAATATTACAAAAGATAGAAGTCAAATACCGGATTCGAACTCGCAAATTTTTGAGTAATCGGTTTACACTGTGTTCTATCTCATTCTCTTGCAGTGTAAATCCTATAGATATATATGTTTGTCTCTTTTTAGTGTCGCTCTTTCGTCTCATCGGGTTTCAAATCACAACGATTCTAAAGAAGTTTACACTTCAAAATTACAACACGAACTGAAACAGTGTCACATAAGTGAGGTTACCTTAATGAAGGTATCGAGTGACAGCGGTATGATCAGTCCGGCCGCGGGTCGGATCGGGCGGTCCACACGCAACATCAGTAGCACCAACAAACGCTTGAACTTCAACGGTCTGTCCAACCACTCCATTGAGTAAACAGAGTTTACTATACGGGTGCTCTGTAAAAAATAGCAGGCAAGCAGAGTAAATATAGTGAACAAAGTTATTTATTAATAATATTCAAAAATATCAAATGCAAAAGGAAGAGCTTGGATACCTACCGATAGTCCACCGTGAAGAAAATATGGTCAAATAGCAAATGAGTAAATGCTTCGTCGTTTACATTTTATTTTACTAGATAAAGCGACTCTTTAGTATTCTATACAGGGTTATTTTGCAATAACCGGCCAAATTAGGAGAGAAGGTTCAGAATAATTATTAAAGACAAATGGTAAAGAAAAATTAGTTTAAAAAAATCTCAAATATTCTGTCCTTCTTATCTATTAAATTTAAAATGCGTGGTAAAGGATTATTTCAACTGATTTTACTGCGCACGCACACATTCGTAGGGGTCAATCGGTAAGCATAAATATAAAAATAAGGATAAGTACAGTTTACACAAGAGGCATGTATGTTGTCTTACCCTACTACTTGTTTATTATAAATCATAATAGGCAGATAAGTGTAGATAAAATAATAAAAATAATGAATAATGTAAAACATGAAAGCAGGTAATGCAGCCGGATATGATAGAATATCACTCGAAATGCTAAGGGCTGGAGAGGGTGTGGTTGCAGGCCTGCTGTGCACCTTGTTTAATTTATGTTGAGAACTGAAGCGGGTACCGGAAGACTGGTGCAAAGCCTTTATAGTCCCAATATATAAGGGAAAGGGATCGCAGCAGGACTGTAAAAACTGCCGTGGTATTAGCTTGATTGTGGGTAAACTGTACGCTAAGGTGTTAATTGAAAGAGTTATGGAAGAAACTGATGGAAAAATTTGGGATGTGCAAGCTGGATTTAGAAAGGAGATGGGGTGTACGGATCAAGTCTTTTCCATGCGGATGATTGCGGAGAAGTTTTTGGCCTGTTTAACCTATTTATGGACAGTTGTTTGCAAACTTTGAAAGTTGAAGAATGTAGGTTGAGAATGGGTGAGTTAATCGTCAAATACCTTTTGTACGCCGATGATCAAGTCATATTTGCATCGTCGGCGGCCGAGTTGCAAATGATGGTTAATTTAATAAACTGGTCATTAAAAGAAAGGGGTATGAAAGTGAACGCAAGTGAGACGAAAGTGATGGTTTTTGAAAGAGAAGAAAGTAAAACGTTATGTGAAATAAGAATAGAATATATTGAGCAAGTGGATGAGTTTGTATATTTGGGATGTTTATTAAGCAGGGAAGGTAGATATGATAAGGATACAGGACGACGAGTGAACGCAGGAAATAGAGTAAATGGGGCTCTACACGCTATTATGAGGAGTCAGAATGTGTCAAATAAGGCACGTTTGGCAATTCATAATGCTGTGTTAGTCCCTACTTTAATGTATGGTATGTAGTGAAAGTTGGGTCTGGCAGAAGAAGCATGAAAGTCGAATAAATGCTGTAGAAATGCGGTCCTTGGAGAGTATGCTAGGGCTGAATCTGAATGACAGGGTGAGAAATAGTGTGATAAGAGAAAAGTGTGGTTTGCAAGATGACGTTGTGACAAGGATTAAGAAAGGAATGCTTCGGTGGTTTGGTCATGTAGAAAGAATGAACAAGGACAGAGTGACAAAGCAAATTTATGTTGCAGAAGTAAACGGCAGGGTCGGGAAGGGACGCCCTAGACGAAGGTTTATCGACCAAATCGGCGATACAATAAAAATGGGCCAGATTAGGAGTACCCTTAACAGACGAGCATTTATGCGTAGATATATGGATGTAAAGGAGGTGAGAGAAGTATGTCTGCATCGCACCAAATGGAAGTCCGTAGTCTCTGCCTACCCCTCTGGGTGACAGGCGTGAGTGTTTGTGTGTGTATTTATCATTATATTTTAATTATCTCTGTTAAACTGAAAATTAGTAACGCTCCATATTAATTAAGTTTTGTTAATTGGAAGGAAACTTTTAGTAAATTAACATGCCTGAAAAATAAAATATTTTGAGAATATGTGAAATTTATAGACACTGTGTTGATTGTTGGTCGTTCGTTATTGCTATTGCAAAAAATCTGCCAAGAAAAAAACACACAAACAGTGTTTAATCATATTTTTAATCATCTGTTTATTCATATAAATGAAATTGATATGTCTATCTGTAATATCGAAATAGCTACCTTCTATTAATTTCTGGGGGTTATTTGCATGCTACTAAGACATGAATGACTATTTTGTTAAAGTGTGTGTGTCTGTTCGGGCTAATCTTCGGAATGGCTAAAACGATTGAATAAAACTTCATGAACACATAGAAAGCAATACCAGGAGTGACTTACGCTATATTTTTATTTGAAATAATTAAAAATTTTGTACAACCGACTTCAGTATAAATTATTATGAGACCACATGTGAATCACCAGTATTCAAATATAAAAGAATCATCGAAATCGGTTCACCCAATAAAAAGTTATGAGGTAACACACATAAAAAACATACAGTCGAATTGAGTACCGTCTTGTTTTTGAAGTCGGTAGAAAAATGGAGGATTTTTTATATAAGATTTTTTTGTTTATGTTCTACGTGTACGGATTCGTGAGAAAAAGCTTGTTATACCATATTTTAAGATCTTTAACTTAGATTTTGTGTAAAAAAAATACACTTATATTTTTATAATAATTTCTTTTAAGAAATTTGATACTGTGTTATATTATTTACATTCACATATTTACAAAATATTTACATTGGTAGTTTACATGGTAGCCTATTACGGTTGCAGCACTAATTGGTCTACCCTACCCTGGTCGACCGGTCGGCTTGACCAACCATAGAATACTAGCGTGAGATAGCAGCACTTTGTTTCCTATGGTGGGTATCGAGAATCGGAACGAGGCATACCATCTTAGTTTTCAGGAGTGACAAAAAGCAGGATATATCAGATGAACTGTGTACTCATTTGTTATTCTTAATTCTTAGATATTCGTACACTTCGCGGAAAACTAGTATATAAATCATAATTACAATATACTCGTACTATATTTGAATACGGTGTCATTGTATGGAATCCCTATGAGGAGAAATATATTTTGATGATAGAGAGAATGCAGCGCAAATTTGCACGATGGCTATATAAGCAGAATTACAGTTACTACCCCTATCTATATCCGTCCTTATTTCTTACTGGTGTGGTGGGTTTGGACACTCTTAAACTTAGGCGGACTATGCAGTTGATAACATTCCGACTAGCAATCATCTATAATAAAATAGATAGCCTGACGATATTAAGCAGAGTGGGGTTATTGGCTCCGAAGCGGCTGGGCTATGATGTGGAGAGGACGGTGGCACCGAGCACCAGGTGCGGCGCTCACGTGCCCACTACTCGCGCTATACGGCTTATTGGAAATATGCTGGCAAATTATTACGAGACTGACTTATTTTCTGATAGCTTTAGGCAACTATGTAATAAAGCCCTTTTATTTTGAGATCCAATTTTGATATATTGTAATATTTTAATTTAATCTTAGGTTAGTTAATTTGACAATGACATTTTGCTTACTCTATTTGACATGTAATCTAGTTGGAATGTATTTTTAATCTATTTGGCATGTATTTTTTTATTTTTTATTTTATTTGGACATGTATCTTATACAATTAGTTATTATTTGAAAGTGTAATTTGAAAATTAGCATACTGGCGTTTTGGGCATACTGTAATCCGGCATGTACACTGTTTTAAAATAAATAAATAAATATACATCGGACCTGATACTAGGTACAGGCCTCATTTTTGTGAGAAGTTTATGGGATGAAAAAGAACACACGTTGCTCCAGTATGGATCGGACTGAAGGTCTCCATATATCCATGGAATATTTTTGATTTCCCAACGCGTGGTAAATCAGTAGGTACTCAAAATTTTGATAAAAATGTTTAGTGGAGCTAGCAGGTTTTAACTTGGGATGCTCATGTCCTCGTACCAGTTACTGAAGTAAATTATATAGAGTAAAAACTGTTATTAAATTAAAATCGATCAATTTGTATTTCTAGCTTTACCTCATCTGTCAGCTCGGTTCCATAGTAACAGTAGAGAAACAACTCCGTAAGGATGCAGCTGATGAATAGCGCCATCGAGGCAAATTCTATGCTGAGTACGGAGAGCTAGAAGTCAATTTATTGCCTTATAAGTTAAATAATTCCCGGGAAATGCATAGTACTTCGCCAATAAATTACTCACACTGACAAGTTTATACGCAGCCATACATAGAATCCAGCCTCCAATACCAAACTGAATCAATACCGCAGTACCGAATATATCTTGTAATTGCCAAGCAGTCCTAGAAAATATTAGAATTGTAAACTTTTATTTCTTCTTATAAAATATTTTCCCGCATCTTTTTTACTCACTCAGTAGTTTTTTGGTAATGTATCCAACAATCTACAAACAGTTTCCTCAGGACGATGTCTCTGTTTTCTCCGGATTCTTTGCTTATTGCAAGTGCTCTGTCCGGTAGGTTTTGGAAATTGATACTAAAATTTATATTTAAATTATTGTATGTATGATCGTTATAGTAATTTTTAAGGCAGGGCTCTTTGCTTGACAGTTAATTAAAAAAGAATAGTTTTCAATGATTATTGAAGAAATAAATTTTTTGACATTTTACCCTTACCATGACAGCATTATCTAAAGTGCACTACTGAACATAGGCCCCATAGATTTCCTTATAGCAAATATCTTATATTTGCTATAATTGCCACGACTGGCAAGCGAGTTGGCAACCACAGTGTTTTTTAGCTGTTATTCGGAAGATGACGCTGCCCATCTTCTGATTCAGCTTCTCTCTGTCGCCTCTTTCGACATCTACGGAATGATATGGGGTAAAATATATTCTTTCACAGTCATTGCACGGTTATTATATAACGTATGGTATTTGAAATTTTATCATGGAATTATGCCCCAAGTTTTTAAATAAAAAGTGCTGACCTGAGAATTCTCAATTGTGTTTTGCACTGATATAACACAGCTGCTATAAATGCGTCCATAGTAGTGTTAGCAATCCCCACCAGCGTAGTGACGTAGTATGTATACAACAGCACAACCGCGAAACTAATCGGGGTGAAAAGTTATTTCATATTAATATTTCTAGATAAATATAAACACAAACATATATATATATATGATTTACTACGAAATTATTTATTAAATCGGTCAAAGTCCAACGAGAGTAAAACTCGTGTAAGTAGTAAAAAGTTTACGTGGACCACTCAGAAAGTTTTGCGAAAAAAACAAAGATCTATAGTCAAAGTTGTTATAACTTAATCTTTTCGAAGAACTTACCGCCAGCTATTACAAAGTTTCATGCGTCTGAAACAACTTTAGAAACTTTGCCCAGTCAACCTCAGACTCCTCTTCTACGGCCTACTGCTGTTAGTGCATCCTTCGACGATCACAACTTCAACCTTGGAACTATACAGCTGATTTTTATTTTAGATAATAAAAAAGTCACACGGTGGCAAATCAGGGTTTTTTTTTATAGGAGAATGGGCAAACAAGCATGCGGCTCACCTGATGGTAAGTGACTACTGCCGCCCATGAACAACTGCAACACTGGGGGAACCAGGGGAATTGCAGATGCGTTGCCAGCCTTTTAAAAAGAAGTAGGCTCTTTTCTTGAAGGTTCCTAAGTCAGTCCAGAAAAATCGCTGGTGGTAATCGATTCCACAAGGAAGTTGTGCGAGGAAGAAAACATTTCCTAAATCGCACAGTGGTGGACTGCCAATCATCCAGATGGTGTGGATGGTATCAGGAGTTCTGCCAAGATGTGCGTTCGTGAAATTTGGCGGCTGGGTTAATCCGAACAATTCCTCAGAGCACTCCCCGTAGTAAATGCGAAAGAAAATGCAAAGAGATGCAACATATCTTCGCAGCGCCAATGAATCGAGCCGATCGGAAAGGATTCGGTCGTCGACGATTCGAGCCGTTCTGCGCTGGATGCGGTCAAGTGGAAGGAGCTGGCACTAGGGAACCCCTGCCCAGAGATGGGAACAGTATTCCATGTGAGGCCGAACCTGCGTCTTGTAAAGTTGCAGGAGGTGTGCCGGCATGAAATATTGTCCCGCTCTGCTGAGCACACCAAGCTTTTTTAGAGGCCAATTTGGCCTTCTTCCAAGGGATCATGAAACTTCACGTCACTCGATATGTCAACGCCGAGGATTCCGATACTGGCAACAACGGGAGTGCCTTAAAACTGAGGAGATTACGACAAAGGGGTTCTTTTTAGCCGTAAACGCGCAAACTTGCGTCGTCTGGATTAAACTGGACTAGATTTAGTCGCCCCCAATCCGAGACTTTGTTCAGGAAAAACTCGACTTCAGTCACAAGTTTTTTTCCGGTACTCGGCGACATTTTCCCGAGAAATATTGACACGGTCGGTGTTTAAAGCATCACCAGTGCTGTCACCCGCAAAGTAATGAATGTTACCGGTTTGCAACATATCATCGATATGCAGAAGAAACAGCGTTGGTGATAGCACGCAGCCTTGTGGAACATCAGCGTTAATAGGCTTGTAGTCGGAGCATGCACCGTCTACAACTACCTTGATGCTCCAAGAAAGCTGGTGACCCAATTGCACAATTTCTCGGGAAGCCCATAGGAAGGGAGGTGCGAAAGAAGCGTTTTGTGCCAAACCCGATCGAAGGCCTTCGCAATGTGCAAAATAACGGCCAATGCCTCCCCCTTGAACTCTACTGCCGCTGCCCATCTCTAAGTCGGGTAGACCAGAAGATCACCAGCTGATTGACCGCGACGAAAACCGTATTGGCGGTCACTAATCAGCTGGTAATCCTCAAGGTACCGCATGAGCTGGCAGTTAATAATGGATTCCATTATTTTGAAGAACAAGGTTGTCAAGAGGGTGGCCCAATAACTTAACCGGTGTGTTGTCTCTCATTTTGAGCGTTAAATGTGCGGGGGCGTTTTCTTGGTGCATGTGTCGCACTACTACCCGTTCCGTGTTTGGTTTCTTGCTGCTTGCAGCGGTGAACACTTTTCAACAAGCATTTGGTAATATACCATTAGTGTTGATACTACTTTGATAGCAGAAACTCCGTCAAAGTGAAAAAACAAGCGATCAAAATCTTCACGATTTAAGATAGCTTAACTTTTGTGTTGGTTCATTTTGAAACATCGAAACATCTTTCATCTTTGTACGTGGGCCTTCATTCTGAGCATTTGCAAGGATATTCAAATTGAAACAATCTTATTTTGAATTATAATAATCGTATTTTCAAATAATTATATATGTCCAGTGTCTCATATAAAAAATCGCAAAACTTTCTGTGTGACCTGTCTTATGTACTGTTTAAACATCCTTATCCGCCTAAGAATTATAAACTGTTATAAGTATGAAATAATAACTATTATTTATAGAACTAGTAGTTATGACATAAATCACGTAATAGATTATCCTTTAATACAAGCCATTGATACCAAGTAGTTTATGGATGAATTTAACCCCTGGGATTGAGATGATCGCTACCATGCAACTTCAAATTGATTCCACTGGGTTTCTTGCTGACTCTTCCCAGGACCGAGGTATTTTTCGAAACAGTGGTAAATTAGGCATAACAGTGACTCATCATAAGTATTATTTATAATCTATATTGAATAAAAAACATTTACATTTTAGAAATTTCAAGTTTTATCAATCAGAATAACAACTATTTTCAGATTCAATTTAATTTGAATTCACGTCCAACAAGCAGTCTATATTATAACAATTTAATTACACCTAAAATTAATAATAACATGTATTATAAGACCAGGTACCAGGTTTTTGTTCAGGTATTAAACTACACCTCAAGAAGTGGTTAATATCTAATGTGTTATATATATTTAATTTAAATGAATATTTTAATACCAAACATTAATTTATATAAAGATTTTATTTCTTAATTATTGTATGCCCGATATGGGTAAACATTTAATTGCAATGTCACCAGCAAATTGTACACACACAGATTATTGGCAATAAATATTCTGATTCTGATTCTGAAAAGTTTCTATTTGTTTAATAAAAAGTGCAAACCCAATTGAATGCGAAGTATCAATCCCAGTCCACAATGGAAATTCCACGGCAAGGCCCCGTGCGTGCATTTGCACTGGGAACACGGCCCAGAGAGTGCACGTTAACACTGCGGTACCGGCGTATCCGCGCCGCAGCCGGTCCGCGTGTAGCGCTGTTTTTAATAAAAGCGGTTTTGATGCTCCTGAGCTTGAATTGAACAATGGCTCTATAAAAAAAAAACAATCGTATAGGGTACAATTTACATATGTGATCTGTATTTGAAACTTACAAAACATTTTTGTAACTTTCAAATTAAATCCAAGCCCACCCATACGAACGCAAAACTTCAAGATACAAGATACTGTAAACTCGTTCTGCGTAGTTCGGACTAAAGATTAATATTTAAAAGTCGAAGGTGGCCTTCTTTAATTATGAAATCAAAACGTCAAACACCTCAGTTCCTCCCTGTGAACCTAGGTGCTGTAAAGCGCCCGAAACGTCGGAAATATACGAGTAAAAGACGTCCGGACTAAACTTTTTGGTTTGGTAAAATTGATTTTGAATTGCAATTTTATAAAAAACTATGAGTGTTAAAAGATAAGGTGATATGACCCATTTTACGAGTATTAAATAGGTCTTTAACTTTTAATTTAAATTTTTATCACATTGCACATAATTTTCGATACAATAGCAAAAATCTGAATTTAGAGTAATTTTAGACTTTTAAACAATTGAACTGCTTGTTGAAGAAGCACTATTATAGATGTGCTTCCATTACAGTCAATAAAAGTCCACTGCCGAACATGGGCCTCTCTCATACATTGCCATTTTGAGTAGTTACGATGCTGCTACCCATCCCCGTAAATCTAAGATTCATAGATCTGCTCAAATACTATAAACTATATAATATACGGTACGTCACAATCATGCAATCTCACTATCCAATCGAACTACGGTAGTTATACGACCAATCTAAATTTTCATGTTTTACCGCAGATTTCTCAGTCGTTACCGTCATTTTACATAAATAATATCTATAACCGAAAGAAATAAATTTGGCGGATCCTTCCTCCAACGTACTTTCCGCAACAGATATCCTAGTTTGAGCTGGTTGTTTTTGTTCCACCCCACATTAGCTTAGGAAAAAACCAGCCAAAGCTGCATGAACCACAGCTGGTGGATCAAATCTTGTTGTATTCCTCAGCCTACTAAGGCAACATCTTCTATTTGTCATTTTACTCATACTCAAACAGATGACTCTCTTTTTACTCGCTTCTGGGAACTCTATTCTGTACCTGCGAAGCATTGAATGCCCTCCATAGAGCAACTATGTGAGCAGAGATATGAGAAAACTACAAGAAGATGCAGCTCAGTTTATTGTAAAAACACCGTTAAGAGATTCACCCGATGTGCTTGGAGACTCGTAAAATATGACAAAAAGTAGTTTTTTTTTTGTGTTTAGAACTACTCATCGTCCAAAGATAATTCAGCGAACCTAGTTTCGCGTAGCAAAAGGTAAAGGCTAACTTCCTCAGATCTTCCTCCCTGTGGTTGTTTGGACACGATTTTCTACAATATGACCCAATCAAGTTTCCAAACAATCCCTCCATTCAAACAAATCAACTTCCACAAATATTCTTACATATAAACATCAATACAAAAACAGACAATGCTATTTCTAACTTAATTGATAAATTATACAATTTTACAAAATTAATTTTGTTAATAGCTTATATACAATGGTTCATTAAAAATTGCAAAAATGTAAAAAAATAAAGTTACAGCCTATATACGTCCCACTGCTGGGCACAGGCCTCCTCTCATTTCTGAACGGGTTTAGGGCAAGGAAAAATATTATAAGCATTATAAAAATTGTAAAAGATGTAATAATTATTAACATTCATAACACCAATTATTTTTAATATTCAGCATAATTTTTTTCTAAATCAATGCTAATAAGTATAGCTGAAATGGAAATGTTTATATTCTTTAAATTTATATTCTTTAAATATGCTCTTGTTAAGTCGGGAAATTCCCTACAGAAGAAGAACATGCTATTATCCCTCACATCACACATTTCATGGATAATAGCAGTATTATACTTATGATATAAAGCTCCTTATTATAACATGTAGCAAGCATCATTTAACAAAAATCATATTTGAAATGAAACACAAATCCTTAATGCAGGCAGTTCCTCAAATGCTGTTGGCGATCATCAGGCAAACCCATTGGCCTTAAGGCGGTAGAAATCTAGTGAAGGCTAGATGTGTATGTAAAAATGCAATAAATAATTAATAATAATATATTGGGTTGCAGTAACAAAGATGCCATATATATTTAGAGTACCGGAAACCTTTTTTACTGAAAACGTAGCATTCCGTCTTACTTAGGGGTAACAAGGTATCTGCATTTTGATTTTTAATAGAGGATAAATGTAAATATCTATGGGCCACAGCACACACTTACGATCGGGTGGACTGTGTGCTCGGTTGTCACCCTTAGGGCGTCGTGTAGAGGGTCGTCCACTTACTCTTAAATGTTCGAGAAGGGCGGTGGCTGCCACATGCATTATTATACTTGTGAACAGTTACTTTTTGTGGGGACGTAATATGCCTTAATTATATATGGTTATTCCTTTTCAACTTTGATTTAGAACATCATATTAATTGCTTTAAAAATAACAAAAAGAGAATACTAGCTGAGTTTCATTCGCCGTTTCTCCTCCGGACAAACAAGCCTCTTTTTAAAGCTATATTAGATTATAAACATTTTGACATTTGACAAACGAAATTTTAATTTCTTACGGTATATAAGGAATTTTTATCTCAGTTTCATAAGTTTATTAAAACACCTCTAGTCCTATAGTGACGTCGTGCACCCAGAGTCGTTAGGGACTGACTGTGGTTTTTGCGGTCAAAATTCTAAACAGAGATGAGACATCTGCGCAGATCGACATTATGGTGCATGAGTGCAGGCATAAGCACAGGTACATCACTATTCTCTCACTCTGATTAATAGCATAATCTGATTAATAATAAAAAATAATTTCACCATTTAAACCAGCAATCAACTCGTCAATTCGATCAGCGTCCACGTGAAAAACGTATTGTTTAGCAATAGAAGTGACGTGACAAAGAAGTAGAAACATGACACGTGATAATTTCACCATATCTCCTCTTTCCTGTAAATAAAAGATATTTTGTAAAACACCGAATCATAAAGAATAGAATTATGATAAGAAAGTTAGTGAATAAAATAGCAAGATATACCTGGTATGCGTAAAAACATTCCTGCAGCAGATAGAGGAGTGTAATAGAAAAAACCAGTAAACGATAGACAGCGTGTAGACGACGACTGGTTGTAGAACCTGTGCTCAGACGAAGGTATCCCGCCTGGCGTAGCACCTCTGCGTGTCCTCGCACACAGTCCGCTGCCGACCTTAGAATTCAGGTTATGTTAGTTCTGTGTTATATATTTATTATGTTTTTGTTTTTGTGATCTTGATAAGCACTTGTACTAGTTTCACAATATTTCCTTGGCTTTCCTTTACAGCCTATAAAGGTCCACTGCTGAACATAGATTGTCTCATGGTTAGTTGCCATGCTTGGCAGGCGGGTTGGCAAATGCAGGTATACAGTGTTACTTACAGGTATATAGTGTTACTTTTTTATGTTAACGTGAATACCACACATTAAATTAAAGTAGTTTTTACTGATTTTATCGCGATTTATTTTATTTTATCTTTATAATGTATTGGATATTTTATTTTATCTTAATAATACCGAGGAAATGTCAACACCCCGTGTTAGGAACACTTATCTGCCTAGGAATCCATCTTTGTAATAAAAACCTTCGAACCCATTTCTGTTGTTAAATAGCAGCAACTGCTATGCTCCAGTCTCATGTGTTTAAAGAGCCGGTATGATTACAGGCATTACGTTTTAGTCCTCAGAAGTGACTACGCACCCGTAGCCTTCTTTATTTGAAGTTGATAAGTGTACGTGGGCTGCAGTAGTCACTTTACATCAGATGGACTGTATGTTTGTATGTCACATAAAATTCGGTTTATTTGGACGTTTACATTTTATTTTTTCGTGTATAAAATTACATATTTAAAACTGACATGAAGCACCTCCGCTTCGGGAAGTTTGCAGTCCGTAAATATGTTATGCCATCAAAAACATAACTTATAAAAAAACCAAGTCTCGCAACTCAGTTCTTCATCACATGAAAACACAATGTATCTCACAAGTAATACATGTTATGTTAAATTAGATTATTTAGTGCGATTGCCAAGTCAATCTATGTATTTAAAACATAAAAGATTTTTAAGATTGATATGGTCAGTATAAGATGTTGTTAGATTAGCTAATTACGTAATACCTTGAGACAGAAGGACCCTTAAGTAGGGACTGAATAAATTAACCGACTTGGTATTACATGGATCTCACAACTTTTTACGGTCTTTACAAGTTATGTTTTTGATGGCATCTCATTTCTTTTTGTCCTACTTTTTTACTTTCCGGTACCATCTACTTCTTGAATACCAACTACGGATTTTCGGGCAATTTAGTCTACTTAATACTTTGCGGAATTTTAGTACAACTTCATAAGACATGTCTCGTTCTTGCTTTTTCATTCCGTTGACCATTTTACAAGTTACCTTTGAACATAATTATTAATTATTTATCTGGCGTTTCCAGATTTTGATTCCAGATTACCCATGCAGATGAAATTTCACATGACCCTCTTAATTGAACAATTCAATAATAAAAGCATCCAAGTGCCCATATCCCATAAAGTTATTACAAGAAATAATACCAAACAAAAATTAAATGTGCCTAGGATCTCAAATTACTATGGTAGGTGAAAAATAGAATTTTCAATTCCAACTCTTTTAAATAACATCACGCAAAACGTTCAAAAAGAATTAAACACAAAAAACTATAAAAAAACCTCAAAATACTATTACGATAATATAAAAAAATTTGTTTTATAAAATCAATCAGAAATATAGTTATTATTTAGTTATATAATAGTAAAACAACCTGTATATAATTAGTAGTTTGCACTATCTAGTCTCGAAGAACAGGTTCTCCAACAAAAGGATTGAGCTTTAGGTCGGTAGCGCTCAATTTCGGAACGTCCTACGTAGGAATTGCAAATTGGTGCTTATCGCTTACATAATAAAGGAGGTATATTTAAATGTATCTCTACAAACTAGTCAATAAATATATTAAACACGACTACGAAAAATACAGACAAAATACAATAGAAAGACATCTACATATCACCGGAAGTACAATAAAAGGTCTTCAAGGACCTCAGAAGCAACAATACTTAGATATCGTTACTATAGTAACCGATTTTTATAAAACACTAAACAGCGATATTACCCAAACTACTATAAGTCAAAACAATTATACCAGACATTGCAGTGAAAAGAACATTAAATCAATAGGTGAAATAGAAATAATAGAAACAAAGCTAAAACTAGAAAAATCCCCCGGATCAGACAACATCACAAACGAAGCAATAAAGATAACACAGGAAATCTTGGCCACTCCACAAGCTGAGCTATTCAATGTAATATTACAAAATTTTGAAACACCTACACAATGGTCCGAATCCAATATTATCCTAATATACGAGTATAAGAAGGGCGATCCAAAACACATAGGGAACTATAGACCAATAAATTTATTACCGAGTCTATACAAGCTGTTCCCCGCCTTAATCAACGCAAGAATCAGTCCTATGATTGACACTAGACAGCCTATAAAACAAGCAGGTTTCAGAAAGGGGTTCTCTGCAGTATACCACATACACACCCTTGAGTTAATAATAGAGAAGTATCAAGAGCAAGATCGCCTATATCTCGCTTTTGTTGACTATCAAAAGGCCTGCGACACGGTAACGAACACAAGTATATGAAAGCTTAAAAGAACAAGGAGTGGACGAAGTATATAAAGATGTCATCAAAAGCATATATAACTCTAACATAGACAGAATAAACTTAGAAAATTTGGGCCCAAGTTTCTCCATGAAGAGGGGCGTAAAGCAAGGAGACGCGCTATCCCAAAAAATATTTATAACGATTCTTGAAATCATCATTAACAAACTAGACTGGAACAAACTAGTTATCAACAAACAAGGCGCCTTATTAAGTTACCCGAGATTCGCAGATGACATAGTGATACTATCAGAGACCAACTCACAACTTAAGTTCATGATCAATTCCTTACAAGTAGCTAGTGCAAAAGTTGAATTAGAAATCAATTTCAATAAAACCATGACCATGAGAAATAGTTATAAAATACCAATAACTATTAATGAAAACACAGAAACGTACATATATTTGGAAAATAAATTTACATTCGACAGAAAAAACAACGACATAGAGAAAACAAGAAGAGTACAACAAACATGGAACAAATACTGGAGTCTAAAGGAGATTTTAAAAAGTAACATGCCAATAAGTATAAAAACTAAGACAATGAACTCTAGTTTATTACCGTGCTTAGCATACATATGCCAAACATGGAAATTTACGGCCAAAGTCAAGCAAAAAATCACCACTTGTCAGCGAGGTATGGAGCGAAGCATGCTCAAGGCAAAGAAAATCGACAAAATACGACACACAAAAATAAGAGCAATTACGAAAGTCGCAAATGCCTTGAGCTATGCACAAAAGCAGAAATGGAAATGGGCAGGCCATGTAGAGAGGCTCACAGACCTGTGATGGACCATAAGAGCAACCCTATGGAAAAGTCCACAAGGAAAAAGAAACAGAGGAAGACCAATAACACGATGGGAAGACATTCTAAAAGAACCGCTGGCTCAAACTGGAGCCAAATAGCACTACACAGAGACAAATGTGCATCGTTGAAGGAGGCCTATACCCAATCTGAGGTCCTAGCAATAAAGAAAACTAATGAATAATACTAATAACCATCTACCATAAAACTACTATAATAATAATAATAATCTTTATTTGCATATACCATGGTAAATATGGATACAGATGTTTTAGTTGTATTGTGCTCTCATTTTTTGCTATTTTAATATGACATAGCATGCAAATTATATTTAAATTATGAGTTTAAACAATAAGACACTTTAAATAAAAAAAGACCTATATGACATTAAAAATTAACAAATTAAACATTATTTCAAATCATATTATACAATGTCAGAATATAGCTTACAATGTCGGAAATTCGTTAATGTCATAAAAATTTTTGTCAATTAACCAAAGGTACAGTCTATTTTTAAATAAATTCATATTATATATTGTTTTAATTTCGTCAGGTATTTTGTTGTATATACGTACACACATTGATAAACAGCTTTTACTATATTTAGTTGATTTCGTAACTTCGCTTAGAACTAACCTATTCGGATTTCTTTTAAGCCTTGGATAAACATCAGAGGACTTTTTAAATAAAGCTGTATGCTGTTTTACAAATTTACCTATCTCAAATGTGTATAACGATAGAAGAGTTAGTAAGCAAAGATTTTTGAATCTTGGCTTACAAGATTCTCTTGTTGAGATACCACATATCGCCCTTATGCACTTTTTTGTGCGATAAATACCCTACGCTAATCTGTACTATTACCCCACACTATTATACCATATCGGAGTATGGATTCAATATACGCCCAATAGGATGTTACTAATAAAAAAACACCCAGCTGTTTATTTATTAGTAACATTTTTTACTGTACGTAGCGCATATACAAAACTAGTAACCCTTTTACATAGCTCATCTATGTATCTTCCAGTCTAAATTTCGATCTATAATCACAACAAGAAATTTTGTTTGTTCTGTTTTAATATTTAGAATAAAATTTTTATCTTATAAAAATGTATGCAATTTGATTTGATTAGGTTAATTTTTAAATTGTTTGTATGCAACCAATTAATTATATCATCGATTGCGCAATTTATTTCCTTTTCATGATTATCTAATGAATTACTATTTTTGTGGGATAACATAATTACGGAGATATCGTATACAACGTATACAGTATACATTTATGATTTGTCGCTAGAGTCATGTCATTTATATATAACAAAAATAATACTGGCCCTAAAACGCTGCCTTGAGAAACACCGTAATTCTTTTCCCTGTACTGAGACGAGAAAGATAGTTTTTCATTTCCTATTATTTTATCAATAGTAACACATTGTCGTCGATTTGATAAATAAGATGAAATCCACTTTAGTGCTATCTCTCTAATTCCACACGATTCTAGTTTATTTAGAAGTAAGCTATGTTTGACGAAGTCAAACGCTTTACTTAAATCAAAGAATAGTCCTGTTGTTAGTATGTTTTTATTTATACTAGAAATTATTATTTTTATAAGATTAAAAGTTGCTAGCGTTGTAGATTTCTTTTTTTGGAAGCCATATTATTCTTTTTTGAT